TAATAAAGAGAAAAACAAAAACAATAGTGTGAATGCCTAATGGCATTCACACAGTAACAAGAAAAATAATAATAATAAAGAGAAAAACAAAAACAATAGTGTGAATGCCTAATGGCATTCACACAATAATAATAAAGAGAAAAACAAAAACAATAGTGTGAATGCCTAATGGCATTCACACAATAATAATAAAGAGAAAAACAAAAACAATAGTGTGAATGCCTAATGGCATTCACACTTGCATTTTCGTAGGAAATGCAAATTCTCTAGTTACAATTCAAACAGAACAGCCTATTGTCAATATGATTATGGAGTGTGATTTATTTTCAACTCAAAATATCTTCAAACTAATGAAATATAAAGTTATTAGTGAAGAAAATCCGTCTGGATAACAGCAGACTGACTGATCGTAAAATATACGACAGGTCTGGACCACACATGGATTTTGTTCGTATCTGAAGAAAATCTTAGAATACAAAAACATTGGTGAATGCCACAAATTCTCCTAAATCACTCGTACGCACAACTTAAGAACAAATCTTTGCGTGCGAACGGTTCTTGCATGAGGCCCATTGTTTAGAAACATGCCTCACAGCAAGAAGGTTCTGGGTTTGATCCCTGATTTGGACACATGGTCTCTGTGTGTGGAGTTTACATGTTCTCCTTTGGATTCAGTATTGTTCCAGGTCCCACACAAAGACCGAAAAAAATGCATAAACAAAACAAAAAAGGCCAACTGAAATTAGAAATGTCTAGTGAAATATAAAAAAGAGGCAGAATGCTATCTAACAGCAAAAAATATACTGGTCACTAAAAACGGACAAAAAGAAAAAACTATTTTAGGCGAATAACCCTCTGTAAGATACCTCTGCACACACATCCAACACACACTAGCTGCTTTAACTGGAGCACATGTCTGCAGAGGAAGAAGGAATCAGTAAGAAAGCTGTGGGGAACATTCACACTTAGCATATCTCCAATTGCTAATAAAAATAAAACCCCAGTGAGTTGATTATAGGTGATGATCCTCGTTTGGGGTAATTTTCTTTTTCCTCCTTTTTTATTATCAAAGAACAGAATAATCAAAACAAAGTGCAGCATTTTTTCCTTCTGAACCAGGTGACAATCCTGAACATGCTGACGTTAAATCACCATCAAGTGGCTTGTAGATAGACCAAATGTTCTATCTGCAGCCTGTTCAATTATACTCTCAAATCAAAGCAGAACTTAATCAAGAGCTCCATCTCATTAGAGTTGAGAACATGTCTTGTCTCCTCGCTGACGGAGGACAGATTTCTTTCATCTTCTCCAAATCTGCAATCATGCCACTGAGCAGCTTCATTGAATTATGAGGAACCTGGTCAGCTCCCAGCAGCTAACACTGTAGGTCAGTGGCAGATGCTGGTCTTTCAAGAAGAGGAAGCTCAATTTCAGCCAACATCATAAAATGTGTCGGTTTATAAATTCTACCCTCCGTTCCTTTCCAAGAAAATGATCTGTGACCCTGTCACAGATATATATATATATATAGTTTTATTCATTTCATTAAAAAACATTACATGAAACAAAACAATACATATACAATGAAATGAAAGGTAGCAGAAGAAAAATATCTTATGATATCTGCTCCTATTCAAAAAAATATAAATTTCAAACTATAATAAACCAAATAATAAAACAAAACAAAAAATTCAACTCCTCAAACAGTGACTCGTACAAATACAAATTAAACAATTTCATATTTTTTAACAATTTTGCTTTGATCGTTTTTTTAAAGGAATTAATTGATCCAATGCTTTTATAATCATTTTCCAGATTATTCCATAGTTTTATACCTTTGACTGGAGTGCATCTGTCCTTCAGATTAGTTCTGATTTTCGGTTTAACATTTGTAATCCCTGCAAATTATAGCAGCTTTCCCTCTTAACAAAATTAGATTGGATGTTTGAAGGTAACACATATTTAAGAGCTTTATATATAACCTGCAGAATATGATAATTAACCAGCTCATCAAATTTTAATCATTTTAATTGATGAAACAATTTATTAGATGGGTGATAGTTATGCTTCTTGTGATAATTCTTATGGCTCTTTTTGTAAAATAAAAATAGGATTAGTAATTATTTTACGTGCATTTCCCCAAACTTTTATACAATAAATCAAATGTGGAACAATTGTTTCATTATATGATATAAATAGTGCTTTATCATTAAATAACTCTTTAAATTTTTACAGTACTGCAGTAGTATATTCTTCGTCCCGTCTCTCCAGAGTCTTCCTCACAGTTTGGGGAGTTGTGACTCTGATCTGTGGAGCCTTCATCTTCTGTCAGAGCACCACGGTGGCCGTGCTGCAGCTCCTGGGAAAGATCTGACTCCTCCTCCTCCTCCTCCTCCTCCTCCTTCATGTTGGTTTTTGTCATGAACTCGTTTTTTCTCCTCCTGTGGTGAGTTTTGTCTCCGGAGTGAAAACAGCCAGAAAAACTCAGGTTTTTGTCTGGTTTTACTGGCTGCAGCTGCACTGCTTGTTTGTTTTTAGTCTGAGGAGGGAAACCCACTGTTTGCATCTTTGTGTGTAAATTTGAAAAACAAAAGAAACTGTTTATTGGTTTAAAAGAAATAAAATTGTCTTAAAGAAAAGACAATAAAACGTTTTTTTTTTTTGATAAACTGGTTGTAAAACGTCCCTCTGTTTGAACAGAAAAGTATATTTTATTCATTTCAGCCATGAATTATATTTATTATTTGTAATAATTTTACAGTTTAAAG